GAGAGAGGATTTCCTCTTTGAGCCACAAACCATCAGAATGTGGCCCAGACTCTTCCTTCAGCCTGGACCTCAGAATGAGCATGTGAGGACAGACCTGAGCCCAGCCCACAACAAGGAGGAGCCTGGCTGAGGCAGACCAGCAGCCCGAAGCAGAGCTGCCCAGCCAAGCCCACTCTAGATCAGCCAACCTAGAGACCTGGAGACCCATGAGCCTGAGAAGAAATGCTCACATGCCACGAAGATGATGTGGCACAAAGCAAGCAGTTATGCAGTGAAAACTCACTAGGCCAACTATATCTCCCGCTGCCTCTCCACTGCCCTGATTCTGTCCCCATCTCTGCCCTGCAGAGACAGGGCAGTAAGAGAGAGATCAGAGGCTGGGGACAGGGAAGGAGGACTGTGAAGTCAGACTGAGGACATCGAATCACGTGGCCTAAGGCAATGGCAGTGAGGATAGACTCAGGGTTCCCAGGTAGAATTTACCGAGCTTGGTGTCTGGTGGGATATAGGGGATGAGAGAGAGGGAAAAATCAAGGATGACAGCCAGGTTTCCATGTTCTAGGCTGGAAACACAGAGGAGGAGCAGAGAAGACGTTAAAAGCTCATCTTGCTCATCTGAGCACATAGTAGATGCTCAATAAAAAATGTATTGCATGAATGATGAGGTTTGGAGGGGAAATGGTGAGTTCAGTTTGGCACATGTGGGCTTTCCAGGGGCAGAGGTCCACGAGGTAGCAGGATGGACAATAAGAAGAGACATTGGAGAGTTAGAGGTGTATTAAGTCAGGGAAGAGAGAGATCCCCAGGGACAGAGGAAAGAGAGGGCTGAGAAGCAAAGCTAGGGCTCCTTGAAACCAAAGCAGAGGCAGAGTGAGATGCCTCCTTGGGTTTCTAGAGGCTTTTCACTTCTGGCCCTTGGGTCCTGTGAGATACCCTGATATCCCTGTGATAAATTCCCCTTTAGACTTGATCTAGCTCAGGGTGGGTCCTGTTAACTTGCCATCCAGAGTCTCATGTCAAACACCATCCCCATTATTCACCCAGTCACCCAAGATGGTCACTTGGATATCCCTTCATTCGATCACTCATCAGACATTAAGTTAGTTGACAACGAATGCTGGGCACAATATGGGTCCATCCCAGATCCTCTTCCCTTTCTCCACCCCCACCTCCTCTGCCATGGCTCAGGTTTGCCCCTGCCTCCTCACGAACCTCCCTGCCTCCAGTGTCACCCCTGCTGACCCACCCTCCACGGAGCAGGGGGCGCAGTGTTTCTAAAGCACAGCTGGTCATGTGCCTTACCTGCTTAAACACCCTCTGTGCCAAAGCTGACTGGACGAAATATCTCAAAATACAGAGTAAAAATGCAGAGATGAAAATTATGAGGGAAGAGATGAGAACACACCTAAGAAAAACAAGTAAAAAAAAACAAAACAAAAATTCCCTCCATACCCTCAGGACAGAGTCCAACCTCCTCATGCTGGCGTTTGTGGCCCTCTGTGACCTGGCCCTCCACGACCTCTTCAGCCTCGTGCCCCACCACCCCTGCTTGGCTTCTACAGTACAGAACACAGTGCCAGGCGAGGCTCTGCTGTTTCTCTCCCTGTGGCTCTGCACACATTTCAGGTGCTGGGGATGCCCTTCTCCTGCTACCCACTGTTCAAGGCTTCGCTCAGGGGTCACCTCCTCCAGGAAGCCCTCTGACTTCCCTGGGCTCCTGTATCACCCTGTGCTTTCCTCTGTCACTGTCCTAATCATACTGTGCTGCCCTTATGTTTCTGTCCCCCCCCCGGCCTGTGAGTTCCTTGAGGGCAGGGACCAGATATGACCCGTTCTGTGTCCCCAGAGCTCAGCCCAAGGCCAGGCACAGGTGAGGCCTCCCGGAATGTTTGCTGAGAGTCTGAGAAGCTTTCCGGCAGCAGTTAACAATGTAGACCACTGCAAGCAGGTGGATTGATGACTTTGGTGACCAGTGTTGGGGGGCAATGGGGTGGGGGCCAGAGTGACGGGGAGGGCCTGGGAGTTGAGGAAATGGAGGCACTGGGCAACCCCTTTTCATGTCCCGGCTGCCCTTCTGTCCTTTCTCTTGTCCTGCTCAGGGCCCTTTTCTTGTCAAGCTCCCCTTTTCCAGGCCCTTGCTGAACATTCCTTCTGGGGATGTGACTCCAAATCTCTCCCCAGGAATCCCCAATTTCCCAATGGCCCCAAACCTTCCTAGGTACCCGAAACCTCTCTATCAAAAGTGCCTTGGTCTGAATGTCTGTGTCCCCTCCAAAATTCCTATGTTGAAATCCTAACTCCTGATGTGATGGTATTAGGAGGTGGGGGCTTTGGGAAATGATTAGTTCATGAGGGTGGAGCCCTCATGAATGGGATTAGTGGTCTTATAAAAGAGACCCCACAGAGCTCCCTAGCCCCTTCCACCACGTGAGGACACAGTGAGAAGGTGCCGGCTACAATCCAGGAAGGGGGCCCTCACCCATCTGTGCTAGCCACCTGATCTTGGACTTGCAGCTTCCAGAAAAGTGAGAAATAAATGTTTGTCGTTTATAAGTTACCCAGTCTGTGGTATTTTTTTTATAGCAGCCAGAACAGACTAAGATAAAATGTTCCCTGACACTTTTCCTAATGACTCCTAAAACTCCACCATTAATACCCCAGATTTCCCCTAAAAAAACCTCTTTCCCTGCCGGTGCCCGGGAGGAGGGTGGTGTGCCCCTTACCTAGGCCTTCTCCAGGGTGGGGAAGCTGGTGTTGGTCTCCTGCGATGGGCTTGGGGGAGGGGGAGGGCAGGTTTCTCCTTTATACCCTCAATCCCCCACCACTTGTACCTCCCCCACACAGCTGTCAGAAATGTGACACTCCCCCATCTATTTCTAGATCTCTCCTCAAGGCTCAGGAACACTAGCCTCTGCCCAGTCTGCCCTGGGCCAGGGCTCTTCCCATGAAAAACAGAATCCTTGAAGCCAGAGAGCAAGTGGCCAAGGCATTGAGGATCCAGGCTGGAACAACTCCCTCCCCACTGGATTTGGTTCTGTGCTCAGCACCCCCAGCCTCAGAAAGTATCTCTTTACATTTTGTTCCTTCCATGTGAGCACGGAGACTCACCTAAGGAGCAGCGAGACATTCCCAGATTAAGGAGGCTGGGTCTGGGCCCCAGCTCCAGCACTGATTCGCCGTGTGACCTTAGAGGACTTGCTGCCTCACTCAGGACCTCTGTTCAATGACTAGATTTGACTCCATTACTTGAGGCTTTTCTTGGGGTTCCAGGTCTTGGGCTGGGAAAAGCAATTCTCCAAAGCCAGATGGTGGAGAGAGGACAAAGCCATGATCCCAGTAGATCTGGTCCTGGGACTGTCCCAGGAGGCCTAGCTGTCTCAGACAGTATTTTCTGTTCCAGCAACTGCAAATGCTCAGGTCCCTTCAGTGAGCAAGGCAGGCAGGATATGTAGGCGAGATGCTGTTTTTCACAATAATGGTAAACAGTAGAGCAACTCCTGATTTTCTGATCTAGGAGACCTTGGGGGTGGCCAGTCTCATTGGAAGGGGTGAAAGAACTCGTCTTGAAGCTGTTGCCTGGCAAGCACTCTGGTTTTTTGGGATGCCGCTCTTTCCACCTCCCACCGTGCCCCCAGCCCGACTAACAATTTGTCTTCCTTTTTGGTCTACAGGAAGGCTTTTTGAAGACAGCAGGATTCTAGGTGAAGGAAATTCTTTATTTGGCTGGCAGTCTGAGGGGATGCGGGAACAGGGATGGGGCTAAATGAATGAACCAGATCAGGATGGAGCCTGTGGTGAGTTTCACCTCCTGTGCCCACCTCAGCCCCAGCAGGAAGCAGGCACCAGGCAGGATCTCTTAAATCCTGACAGTCAGGACCCTCAACTCCTCCGGCCACCCTGGGGTCATCCAGGGTGTCACCCTCCCACCCCAGAGGCTCAGGCTGTCAGAAAGATCTTCCCAGAGCTGCTGACTGACTCCTCAGCTGGCCCCTTCTCCCATTACCTCTGATTGGGCATCCAAAACTCGGAGCCAGGTTATTTATAGACAAGCCCACAGGAGGGAGGGGAAAGGCTAGTGTTTGTAAACATGGGTCACCTGATTCTGAGAGGCCCAGGGAAAGTGGGTCTGGGGAGGGGGCGGGGCTGGACCCTGAGGATCCGAGACAGAGAATCTGCATGTGGTCCAACCCTACTGAAGGGAAGGGGAGGCAAAGAGAAGGGAGGGTTCTAGGTGCCGCTCAGATGCTGGACCACACATGACCCGATGTGTGGGCCACATGCAAATTGCATGCAAATCAGCGAGATCACAAGTGGTGACCTCTTGGTGGCGGGACCCTCGTGGGACTTCCCGGACTAGGGGGTCTAGGGGCTGGGCACCCCAGGTCGGGCCCACCTGAGTGAGTGGCCGAGTCTACAAGTCCTCTCCCCAGTCCTGGTCTGGCTCGGAGCCAAAGAGGGTCAGGAGAAAGAGCCCTCCGTCCTCGGGAATGGGGGGTCACGCCCCTCACCCCTTCCCCCGCCGCTCCTGCCCCCACCCCAGTGTCTGTTGTTGGGAAGAGAGGTGTCGGGTTGCCGCCGCGGGGGCTATAGTTAGCCGCGGACTTTGTTTATCCGGGACTCCGGGAACAGCGCAGCGCCCGCCCAGACTTGAGCCCCGAACCCTCAGCGCCCCTTCCCGGTCTCCGCCTCCGCGACCTCCAGGTGGGTCCCCGGCCCCCGCCCCCTCCCCTCTCTAGGCCAAATGACGGCTCCACCTTGACCCCCGCAAAACAGTCCCTGCGCAGAAAACACTGAGCCTGGGGGCGTCTGGGATTCTGGGGAGCGGAGACCTGGGGATGAGCTTGTGCTGGGGGACAATAAAATCCAAGCCCCGCCCACCCCCTTAGGCGCGCCCTTGGCCCTGCCCACGCCCCACCTGGGCCAGGGGTCCTGGACCAGGGACCCCTCCTCCACAGGAGAAGGCGGCCAGGTCTCGTCCCCCAGCGCAGTGAAGCCAAGACTCACCGCCGTTGGTCCCACCTTCATCTGGATCTCACCCTCCTGAGTCTCCCCCAGGAATGATGCTGGTGGCTCTGTTGATAGCTCTCAGCGGCCTGAGCTTCCACACCCTCTGGAAGGTAACTGGGGGAACCATCCCCTGCCACAAAGGGAACAGTTGGGAGGCAGACCCTGAGGAACTGGACTGGGGGACTGACTTCTCAAAAGTCTCTCCCAGGGACTCTTCTCTAGGATCCCCCTCTTCTTAATTCTCTTCCTCTCAGGAACCTCCATCCTTGCAGGGGGCCCAAGTTCCCATTCCCTCTCCCAGAACGCTCACCTCCACCCACCTGTCCTCCTGGGGTCCTCCTTCCGTCACATCATCCCTCCCTAGCGGGTGCCCTCAACTTTCTCCTCCCCACTTCTCACCTCCCAGCACAGGCCCAGCCCAGGCAAACCCTCTCGCAGCCCCTCCTGGACCAGGGCTCCTCCTACTCCCACCCCTGGTTGGGCATAAGAACTTCTATCACTTAGCCAGGAGAGGACTTGGGAGTCTCAGAGCTGACAGTGACTTGGTGTGGTGGCTGAACACCTGTGTGAGAGGGAAGGAGGGTGTGAGGATGGGGTGGGGGTCAGGTCACTGGGCACTGGCTGTCCGTTGGTACGGCGCCTGCATACTGAGTCTTAGAGCCAGAACAGAGCTTGGACGTCATCTAGCCCCACTTCCCATGGAGTGCAGGCACCTCGCTAATGACAAGATGACCCCTTTTAGGTTGTACAGAAGTGAGGATCTAGATGCTATCCCCACAATAACCCTGTGAGGTTGGAAGTGTCCTCAATTTATAGGTGGAGAGTCTGAAGCCCAGAAGAGTTAAGAGACTTGCCCAAGATCCCACAGCCAGTAGGTGGTGAAGTCAGGATTTGAACCCATGTCTGTCTGACTCCAGTTCCCGTGTTATTTAAGCCCTTGAATTCTTGCCAAATTGCGTACACCAGATATTTGGGCACGGTAATGAGATTCTGGGTTTATGAACTGATCTGCTACCAGGACCCCTGAGCAGTGCTCTGAACTTACACCCTTTCCTGGGTGACTGCTTTCTTCCTTCCCTCCATAGGCCCAGGCTGTTCCCATCCTGCCCCTGGGCCTGGCTCCAGACACCTTCGATGATGCCTATGTGGGCTGCACAGAGGAGATGGAGGAGAAGGCAGCCCTTCTGCTGAAGGAGGAGATGGCCCACCATGCCCTGCTGCGGGAGTCCTGGGAGGCAGCCCAGGAGGCCTGGGAGCACAGGCGTCGAGGGCTCACCCTGCCCCCTGGCTTCAAGGCCCAGCACGGAATTGCTGTCATGGTCTACACCAACTCATCTAACACTCTGTACTGGGAGCTGAACCAGGCCGTGCGGACAGGCGGTTGCTCCCGGGAATCCTACATGAGGCACTTCCCCTTCAAGGCCTTGCATTTCTACCTGACCCGGGCCCTGCAGCTGCTGCGCGGCAGTGGGGACTGCAGCAGGGGATCTGGGGAGGTGGTGTTCCGAGGCATAGGCAGCCTTCGCTTTGAACCCAAGAGGCTGGGGGACTCTGTCCGCTTGGGCCAGTTTGCCTCCAGCTCCCTGGATGAGGCAGTGGCCCAAAGATTTGGTAATGCCACCTTCTTCTCTCTAAGGACTTGCTTTGGGGCCCCTATCTATGCCCTGTCTGTCTTTCCCAAGGAGCGCGAGGTGCTGATCCCTCCCTATGAAGTCTTCTTGGTCACCAGGTTCTCCCAGGATGGAGCCCGGAGCCTAGTGACTCTCTGGAGCTATAATCAGACCTGCAGCCACTTTAACTGCGCCTATCTGGGTGGTGAGCTGTGCATGAGGGAAGCAGGACTGGTTGGGTGGGTGAAACGAGCCAGGGTGGCCCTGCACGATCCCCAGGGCCTTCAGGGGACCCACTTGGTTAATGGGGAAGTTGAGGACTAGAAGTCAACTGGAGGTATTGTTCTTTTTTTTTTTTTTTTTTTTTTGTGAGGAAGATCAGCCCTGAGCTCACATCCATGCTAATCCTCTTTTTGCTGAGGAAGACCGGCTCTGAGCTAACATCTATTGCCAGTCCTCCTCCTTTTTCTTTTGCCCCCCAAAGCCCCAGTAGATAGTTGTATGTCATAGTTGCACATCCCTCTAGTTGCTGTATGTGGGATGCTGCCTCAGCATGGCCAGAGAAGCGTCGGTGCGTGCCTGGGATCCGAACCTGGGCCGCCAATAGCGGAGCGCACGCACTTAGCTGCTAAGACATGGGGCCGGCCCCAGGAGTTATTGTTCTGAACCTGTTCACACTCAGGTTCTGCCAGCTCTTAGAAGGTCCTATAAGTGTTTTCTGGATCTGTGACTATTCACAGGTGATTCTGTAAATGTTCTTGAAAGGTTCTAACTGCTATCCAGTCTAACAGACCCAAAGAACCTGGCTAAGGAGGCCAGCAAGCAGAGGAAAGTGACAGGAGTGCTGCTTCAGCTCCCAGGAGGGCCTGGGCTTAACGGGGTTGACAGGACACAGATGTGCTATTCCCAAGTGCTGAGGCCGGGACATGATGGAGGAGGCAATCTGGGAAGATTTCCTGGGGGAGGAGGAAGGGAAGACAGAAGTTTACATTTAGGAGAAGGGGAAGATGGATTGAGAAGGGGAATGGCCTGTGCCAGGGCCTGGTGGAAAGAGAAGTGTGGGGTGTGAGTGTCTGTCTCCATGGGGCCTCACCGTGCTGTCTATTGCAGGGGAGAAGAGGCGGAGCTGTGTGTCTGTACCACGTGAGTCACCCTCCTGCCCCTTCCCATGTCTGCATCCACTCCCCCCCATCCCCCCCCCCCCCGCCCTGCTGACCCTTCACCTTTTTTTCCTCTCTCTCCAGCAGGGGGGCAGCCAGACTCACCCTCCAACCGGGCCTTCTCTCTGCTCTCCTGGAAGACCCTGCTCTTGGCCCCTGGGGGGTTCCTGTTCTCAGAAGCTGGGCCCTGAAAGTCCAGTGCCTGCCACTTAGGAGTCCTGGGAACTGGTGACCTTCATCTGAAGAAGGGGCTTCAAACAGCCTCGAGAAGCAAAGACATGGTTTTGGACCCAGCCCTAGCAGCCATCTCCCCAACCAGGATGTGGGGGGATCCGAGGCCATGGCAGGGTGGAGGGAGCCCCACTATGTGGTTAGGACTCCCTAGGACAAGCAAGGGTAGTACTGTGATGGCTACTTGATTAAACAGTGTTGCAGTGCGGTGACATGAAATGTCATGATTGGTTTCTTCATGAGACTGGACCATCTGCCCTGCTTCGGCCTTGCAGGACTTAGGGACTGAGGGACTAAAAAGAATGACTTCTGGATCACTCTTAGACATGGTCCCCTGTGCAGACCCCTGTCACACACCGTAACTTGTAAACCCAGAAGCTTTAACAGCCAGTGGTTCCTCACAACAACGCTGAAGGCAGGAAGGGGACAGAGAGATTTCTTGGCCCATTTGTCAGATGAGGAACGCAAAGCCAAGGAAGGAATACTTCAATACTAACATTCAAGTGTTGAAGCCAGGCCCCTGCCTCCCAGGCCAGAACTCTTTCCACCAAAGATTTGAGGGAACTCAAAGTAGGATCCTAAGCCCAAGATACCTGGGACCCCAGAGCAAGCTATCTCTCTCTGTCCTGCTCCCCCAAGGGTCCATTTCTGAGAAAGAATGGGTCTCAGAACATCAGGAGACAGAGACTTTTACACACTCTGGAGGCATCTGACATCCAGAAACTTTATTGAGGCAAAGAAAGCAACATAAGCTCCTACTAAGTGGCCCCCACCCTCACCCATCTAGGCGGCTCTACTCAGCAACAGAAGAAGGGACCCTCCCACTGCATCAGGACTCCCCCTTGGTTCCCAAATCTTCCTCCTGGGGCAGGTCCGCAGCTCCCTCTGAGTCCTGCTCCCTATGCACTAGCACGTGAGTTGGGGAAGAAGGGCCAGACTCTCCAGAAGCTGGAGTCCTAGCCCCTTCAGCATCTTGAAGCCCAGTTTCTGAAGCAACCTGGGTCTCCACAATCCCTGGCACTGTCAGCTCTGGGGTCTCAGGGATGGGGGGCCCCAGGTTCTGGAAACTGTTGCGTACTCGGGTGATGTAGCGACTAAGGACGCTGGCACCCCGGGGGGTCTGTGGAGTCCCTCCCTCCACCAGAGTCCGTTGCACAGCGGCCACTTCGCTTTGCAGTCGCGATACAGTCTTGGTCAGCTCTGTCAGTCTGTTGCCCAGGTCTGGCGGGAGCATTGATGGGGAGGTCTCTCAGAAGGTGAGCCTGCCCTGAACCACTTCTACCCTCAACAGAACCCCAAGGACATCATGCCTGGGGTTCCTAAGGGAGGGGAACTGGAGGAAGTGAGAGACTGGCTATGGGCGGGGGGTCAGGTGGGCAGATGAATCTGAGCGGGGCTGGAGGGGTGGCGAGTTTAGAAGATACAAACAAGGGAAGTCTTGTGGGCCAGAGAAGGGATCAGGAGTCCTAGGGATGGGAGGGTTTTTGTTTTGTTTTGTTTTGTGAGGAAGATCAGCCCTGAGCTAACATCCATGCCAATCCTCCTCTTTTTGCTGAGGAAGACCGGCCCTGAGCCAACACCCATTGCCAATCTTCCTCTTTTTTCTCCCCAAAGCCCCAGTAGATAGTTGTATGCCGTAGTTGCACATCCTTCTAGTTGCTGTATGTGGGATGCCGCCTCAGCGTGGCCGGAGAAGTGGTGCGTCAGTGCACACCCAGGATCCGAACCTGGGCCGCCAGCAGCGGAGTGCGTGCACCCAACGGCCAAGCCATGGGGCCGGCCCCCCGGGATGGGAGGTTTTAATGGGTAGAGATCTGTACATCCACTCCTGTCAGCCCTCTTCCCGATCCATACCAGTCCAGCTCATATCCATCCTTGGGGCCCAAATTCTACCTCCTCTTTCTCCAACCTCTGGTACCCTATCCTCTACCTTCCCATGAGCCTCTCAAAATGATAGGCTCTGGGGCTGGCCCGGTGGCGCAAGTGGTTAAGTGTGCACGCTCCGCTGCGGTGGCCCGGGGTTTGCTGGTTCGGATCCCGGGTGCACACAGGCGCACCGCATGTCAAGCCATGCTGTGGCGGCGTCCCATATAAAGTAGAGGAAGATGGGCACAGATGTTAGCCCAGGGCCAGTCTTCGTCAGCAAAAAGAGGAGGATTGGCATCAGATGTTAGCTCAGGGCTGATCTCCCTCACAAAAAACAAAAAAAACAAAACAAACAAACAAACAAACAAAATGATAGGCTCTTGCTCTCTTTTCGGCTCCCACTGCAATCTGTGTCTCTCTCAGCTAGGCACTTTCTGCCTAGTAAGATGGTTTCTCTTCCTCACCAGACTTAAAGCTTCCCGTGTGTCCCTGCTCGACACAGTCCCCCCTCCCTCCAAGACAGGGCCAAGAACAAAGGGGACATAGCATTGAATGTCAGCTGAATGAGAGAATAAGTGAATGAATGAATGAATAATGAATTAAGTGAATGAGAATAAATGAACACATGAATGAAGTCAGGAATGAAGGATTAAATGAAATGAGTGGAATAAATGTCTGAATGGGTCAGAGGGTAATTGAGTGCAAGAGGCCACACTGTGCAGGTTGTGGCTCCGAAGGGCAGGGCAGGATGGGGCCACACATCACTGCCAGCTGGATGAGGGTATGAGTCTGGGCGTGGTGCATTTATCCCAGCTGAGCAGGGAACAGGAACGGGGAAGGCCTGGAGGTGAACAACTAACCTTTGCGGCGGGTCTCCTCGAACTCCCGCCGGGCAGTCTCTATGTAGCGCTGGACCAGGGCCTTGATGACACGAAGGCGGTAGGATCCACACTCTCTCTCCCCAGGCCCTGCCCCTGCCCTAGGATTGGCCTGCGATGGGAAGACAGGAGGGTGAGAGAGATCCTCCAACCTCACCCTTTCTCTAATCACTGCTCCCTCCCCAGTCAATAAAGGATGGAGGCAAAGTCTGTGCAGACTTTTCTGTCCCTGAAGGCCACACACCTAGACCCTGGAGCAGCCCTGGAAGGTAGAAGGATGGAGGCCAGAGCTGGGGAATGGCCGAGTACAAGAGAACCAGGTTGGGAGATGGGGTGAGGGTTGGGAGGTGGAGGTGGGAATGGGCAGAGACAGAAATGCTGGGCAGGGCAGAGTCAAGCTCTCTCTCCTGCCACCAACCCAACCTTGGTTTTCTTGAGTTGAGTTAGTCCAGGTTAACCCCACCTTTCAGATTCTACAGAAGGGGAGACTAGGAGATGTGGAGAGGCATCTACATGGACCTGCTCATGCATATAAGATGGAAATCATCACACAAATTAGAATGGTTGGTTCTGGGTCCAGTTTTAGGCCTCGGGACAGTACCAGGAGGGCAAGTAAGGCACGTGGGGCAGATATTGGAAAGAGCAGAGGGGTAGTGGGCAAAATGCTGGGCCCAGAAGACATAGGCTCAAATCCTAGCTCCGTCATTTCACAGCTGCTTGCCTCAGGCAAGTTACTCAACCTCTTCAGGCTGAGCGTCTCCAAATTTAAAACAGAGATGATAATAATGCCCACTTCCCAGGTTGGTACTTCCCCGGCGTAGATTAGGGGCTCTCTAAATGCTTAGGAAGTAATTATTTTTATTTAACTAGCTGTATCTTCTCTCTAAATATTTTATAGTTAGCATATTTACTTTTATAATGTGAAAAAGCAAAGAATTTTATTAAATATTATAAAAGGAGAGATGAGACAGGCAGAGGTAAAAGAGAACGATGGCCCCTTCCTACTACAGAGTATATAAAAAAATTTTCTTATGTAAAATAAGGAATAAGAACGTTGGGAGTCCGTTTCCTGAGGATGCAGGATAGGTGGGAGGGGACACCTGATTGGATCACCAAAGAACAGGCTGAGCTGGGGGCAGCTGGAAGAAAGGTGGGACCTCAGTGGGGGTGCAATGGAGGACTGGGGAGACCCCCAGCTGGCTGTTATGGTGGGATCTGGCAGGACACAGGGATTCTGCCCATCCAGGACTGGGCACAGGCCCAGAGAACTGAATACGACCTCCGGTGAAGAAGCTGTTTCACCCTATGGTGGAAGCAGCCCCGACATGTGGTCTGCAAATAAGCATCAGGCAGGCGGGACAGGGCCGGGAAGCCACGAGGGGGAAAGGGTGATAATTCCAGAATTTGGAGTCAGAGATACAGGAGGGTGAAGGAGGTGCCCGTGCAGGATAGCCTGTAGCTGGGATGTGGTGGGAACTGGAAATTGGGAACCTTTGGCATTCAGTTCTTGTAAATGTCATGTTTTCTTTGGCACATGCAGTTTCCCGTGCCTAGAACTTCCTTCTCCACCGTATCTGCCCACCAACCTCCTGTTTATCCTCCAGGATTCTGTTCTGCCCTCAAGGTCTCTGGGATGCTCCTTGATTCCTGAGGCTGGTCTGGGCCTCTCCTCTGTGCTCCAACAGCTCCCTGGGCTTCTCTCTGTCATAGTCTCATTGTCCTGTTCAGTTACAGTCCATTTCCTTCTGCCACTCTAGACTGTCAGCACCCTGAGAGACTACACATCTTTATTTCCAGTGTTGGCGTGCTTTGATAAGTGTTTGTTGAGCAAACCACTGAGCAACCAGATAAGGGAGGGCATTCCTCACCTGGGGATCCAGGGACCTCAGAGCCACAGATTTGGCCTGTGGCCCCGTAGGGCTGACCTGGAGGCCCTGGCTTAGAGAAATCCTCAGGTAACACATTTTAAGGGGAACAGATAGGACCCCCTAGAGCCCTGGCAGTAATGCTGGTCTGAATTAGGAAGCCAGCCTGGGTTAGGGAGCCAAGAATGAGAGGTAAATTTACCCCTTGGAGGCCTCTGCCAGACATCTAATTTCCCCATTTGTAGGGCATTCTTCCCTCAGCTTCTTAACATGTTTTTTGAAAAATGTTCAACCACGTCTTGGCCTAGTTTAGGACAAAAAGGTTTGTCTGGAGCTTGCAGGGTGTTGGTGGCTTGGGGGTAGGGTGGCATGGAGTTTTCTGTTTAAGCCAGGTGACACAGGGTCGGAAATTTAGGAAATGGCCAGAGCCAGGAGGAGGGAAAGGCAAGCCAAGTAAGAGAGTAGGAATTGGGAATAGGCTTTCTGGGGAACGTAACCTGGAAAGACAGACAAGCCAGAGGTGTGCAAACAAACGGATGGTACAGATGTGAGGCAGACCAACAACAAGCAGATGAGGTACTCACAAAGGTGGGGATTGGGGGGTAGTCTGCCTTCTCGGTTTTGCAGTAGGAACAGCAACAGCAAATGAACTGGAAAATTTTCCTGAAAGATTTAGATGGTGAAAAGGGGTTAGTCAGAGGACAGGGTCTAGGGAACCAGGGGCAGGAGCTGGAGTCGGGGTGCTGGGAGCTTAGGAGTGGGGAGTGAGAGCTCCAAGGTCATCACCTGAGAAGGTAGAAGATGGCCTTGGGGGAGGGCAGGATGTTGAAGGGCACAGGCAGCGTCAGGCCCTCTCGGAAGTAGGACAGGTAGAGCTTGGAGCGAGCAAACTTCCATTCCACGTCAGCATCGTCCTGAGGACCAGGAGGTAGGGGCTCTGCAAGGCCACTTTGGTACCTAGCCCTCCTGCCCACTCCACCTGCCTGGTTTCCCCCCATCCTCACGTCTCTTCTTCTCCAAAATGCCAAGGACTTGCTTCTCCCCATTCTTATCTTCATCCTCGTCATCACTCACAGTTCCCCTGCCTGTCTCTCTCTTCCTCCCCATTATCTTTCACCCTTCTGACATCCAATTCCTGCCCAGCCATTTCTCCAGCCACAAACCCTAGCCCTTCCATCTTCTTCCCCCTCCTTTCTCATGTTCCCACCTACTTTTCCACAACGCACCCTTCCTCCCAACCCTAAAGGGGAAAGAGCACTAGACTTGTGTCTGGAGAAACTAACAGCATTACTAAGACCCTCATTTTATAGATGAGGAAAATGAGGCCTAGACAGGAAAATTTGTCCCAAGTCAAAAAACAATAGTGGAGGCAGAGCAGGAACCCCAATGTCTCAACTCCTTGCATCCTATTCCTCTCCATCCCTTTCTCCCTTCTTCTCCCTGGCCTAAGTGGCCTCAGTTCACGCACCTCAATCTTCTGGAAGGAGTTGGTGATCATGGCAATGAGCATGTTGAGCAGCACAATGACCATGACGATGGTAAAGATGCCGTAGAGGGCCCGGCCCACGAATTCAGGCACCAGAAACTGAGGCATGTCTACCACGCTGTGCTCCTCCATGCCAAACATGGTCCAGAACAGAAACTGGAATGTCTCGTTGAAACTGGCGTGTCGGGCCAAAAGATAGGATGTGAGGGGTGGGAGAGGAGCCTGAGCGCCACACAGGCACATTCTTCCTCACCCTCCAGGACCCGTCCAACAGTGTTCTGCTTCCATGAGGCCTTCTGGACCACCCTGGCCCATACAGACCCTGGCCATTTCTGAGCTCCAACTTCTGTTCTTTCAGTCAACCAATATTTATTGAGCACATAGTTGTAACATAGGTGCTAAGGATAGAGCTGTGAACAAGACAAGCATGGTCCCTGTCTTCAAGGACTTTATGTTCTAGAGTGGGGATGGGGGGTGAGATGGACACTAATTGTACCAACGTTTTTAAATTGTGGTAAGTGCTGTGAAGGAGCAGCACAAGATGTTATGACCTAGTCTGGGACTTGGGGAAAGCTTCTTCAAAAAGCATTCAAGCTGAGCTCTGAAGGATACATGGGAGTCAACCAGCTCAAAAGGAAGGAGATGTGAAGAGCAAGCCCAAAACAGGGGAGTCTGGGGCATTTGAGGAACTGAGAGAATGCCAGCATAGCTAGTCTTGGAGGGTAAAGGAGACAGAGGCTTGTGAGAGGTAAGTAGGGACCAACCAGGTCATGCAGGACCTTGTAGGATAAAAACAAAGATCCTTACCACGGCTAAGAGCATTAGGAAGCTATGAAGAGTTCTAAGCAGAGGGGTGATACCTGATTTACATTAGAAAAGATCACATTGGCTGCTGTGAGTAGAATGGAAAGGAAGCAGATGAGAGAGCGGAGGCATGGAGACCAGTTAAGAAACTGTTGCCATGGTCTGGGTGAGAGAGGATGGTGGTTTGGACCACAGTAGTGGCAACTCCAATGCTACCTTTTCCAGGAAGCCCTTCCTGAACTCCCTGCTCTACCTTCAGCAGAATGTGCATGTCTGTTAGTTACAGACCTGACCACATTCTCCCGCCTATTGTATTTATTCAAGAATCTGTCTTATTCCCTCCATCTCAGTGCCAGTTCAGGTGTCGATTACTGCAGCAACCTCTGCAGCTGGTCTCTGGCCTCAATCTCTCTCTTGTTATGCCATCCCCTACACTGCATCCAAGGTATTCTTTCTAAAAGCTGATCTGATGTGTTGTACTTCTGCTTGTCAAACTTAAACACTCCTAACTACCCTCAGTCCAGATGCCTACCATGCAACCTACCTGAGGTTTTTAGCAAAAATACTTTTGACTTAATTAGCTGTCACTCATGAATGAACAGGAGGGTTCTGCCTGCCCATGCTACTGTGGAGTGACTAATACCACTAGGACCCGTGAAGCAGGCTGGAATGAGTAGTAGTTACTGTCCCTCGTAGTAAGATTCACGGTTTAAACTGTGTAAGCAGAGTTCTTGAACGTCCTGAAGCCAGGACACGAACAAGGATTCTTGGTAGGAGGACTGGTCTGAATAAAGCCTCCATTTGCTTTGGAACCATGAGAAAGCCTTGACCAATATCCACAGGCCCAAGTGTGGGTCATTCACCATCACCAATAAAACCATCATGTAGTTGCTCTTATGAAGAAGTCACGATTGAATGATTGCTTGGGAGGCCACTTGGAGCTCCCTGGCCTGCTGGAGAAAGCCCAAACTTCTCAGCAGAACATTTATGAGCTTCCAGACCTGGCCTCTCTACCCTCTCCTCTCTTAAAATTTCCTCCATGCATTAACCATGGGAGACATCTTGCTATTCTGCTTTGGTACGTACCCCCTTTCTGCCAGAATGCCCTGCATCTTCTCTGAAGTTCATACCCCTTGTAGGTGGAGTCCGGATTCTCCCTTCTCTGTGCAGTCTTCCCTGATCATCCAAGACAGAGGAAGGGGCTTTCCCCTTTGGGTACCCTCAACATAAGCCCTCCTTCCTCACAGCACTTATCATGCCATTATACTTTTGTGTGTGTGTGTGTGAGGAAGATGGGCTCTGAGCTAACATCTGTTGCCAATCCTCCTCTTTTTTTGCTGAGGAACATCAGCCCTGAACAAACATCTGTGCCTATCTTCCTCTGTTTTGTACGTGGGATGCCGCCACACATGGCTTGATGAGCGGTGCGTAGGTCCATGCCCGGGATTCGAACCTGTGAACCCCAGGCCGCCAAAGTGGAGCACATGAACTTAACCACTACGCCATTGGGCTGGCCCCTCTCATCCCAAATTGAGCTTATATGTGCACATGGCCATCTTCTCCATGAGACTGGGTCTAGTTCACTTCTCCTGTCTGTGCTTCCAGTGCCAGGGACAGGACCTACTACAAAGAAGGTGCTAGTAAATGGGTGTGAACTCAACAACAATAACAAAAATCCTGCCATGACTGAATGACTAAGAAAGTGAATGAATTTAAAAAGTGAGTGAATGAATGAATGAACAATGAATGAGTGAATCCTATGAATTGACATTTTTTTTTTTTTGTGAGGAAGATGAGCCCTGAGCTAACATCCATGACAATCCTCCTCTTTTTGCTGAGGAAGACCAGCCCTGAGCTAACATCTATTGCCAATCCTCCTCCTTTTTTTCCCTTTTTCTCCCCAAAGCCCCAGTAGACAGTTGTATGTCATAGTTGCACATATTTCTAGTTGCTGCATGTGGGACACGGCCTCAGCATGGCCGGACAAGCGGTGTGTCAGTGCGCGCCTGGGATCCGAACCCAGGCCACCAGTAGCGGAGTGCGTGCACTTAACCGCTAAGCCACGGGGCTGGCCCCCCTGACATTTTTAAAATAAAAAGTTTGGAGAGAAAGTGAGTGAATAAATGAATGAGTAAATGAACAAATAAATGAGTGAGAGTGAATCAATGAGGCAGTGAACAAACCAGAGTTAATTACTGGGTGAAGAGATGAGGGAGGAGTAGGGCAGGAAGAGGTGATCACTAAGCTCCAAGCTGCACGTTACCAGACCCCCACCTGCCCATCCTGCCTCCGCCCCGGCATACTTGCCCAGCCGCTCCGTCTCCTGGTAGGGCACGTAGATGTTGTTGAGGCCACAGAGGAAGGCGGTCAGGATGATCATGAGGATGAATATGAACCTGGCAGGGAGTGGGATGGGGAAGGGTCAGAGCAGGTCTCCACCCTGGGAGAAGTCAGGCTCTAGGAAGAGGGATGGGGGGTGGTGGTGACGGTTTCCTAGGCTCAGCCTCTCTCTATTTGACAAGTTTTCAATTTAGTTCCTATTAATAATAGAGGAATCAGAGGGTGGGAAGTGAGAAGGGATGTAAAGTGGGTGCTGAAGCAGGATCTCTCCCTCAAGAATAAAGGGGACTGAGTTCAAGCTGTCAAAGCTGGGGATGGGCCAGTCTCATTGGGAGGGCCTGAGATGCTGAGTGGGGTACAGGGATGAGTGGGAGTCAGAGAGTCCTACTGGACAGGATTTATCACCAGTGGAGTTCAAGTCACATGTGAGAATGAGTTAGTCTGCAACAGGGAGATCTAGAAGAATCTAAGAGGTGGAGCAGGAGGTTCTCCTCGATGCTAAGCTGAGCTGCAGATGTGCATAGATGAACACAGGGCTCTTCCCACCAAGGCACCCCCGCCAGTCCCACCTCAGGCAGGGGATTCCCAAGGGAGCAGGCACTAACTATGGGCTCTGATGAGGGTGAGAGGCCTGGTCTGGCTGTAAATGATTAGGTGATAAGCACCAAGAAGACCAGATAACGCCACGAGTTCAAAGAGCAGTTGTGGAAGGGGAAGGACCCAAAGGGACCCTGGATTCCAGTGCCCTTACCACAAAGATGGGAAAACTGAGGCCCATCTCAGACGGTCACAGAGACAGTGACAGAACGGGGACTGGAAATCCCAGCTAAGGGCCCTTTCTGCTATCAGTGGTTCCTAACTTTTTCCGAGGTCTTGGGCCTCTTGGAGAATTAGATGCAAGTCATAGACCCTCTCTGCAGAGAAGTGTACATTTACGCCCCAAATTTTGCCTACAGTTTCAGGGTTTCAGAGGTCTCTGGAGGCCACACAAGGAACCCAGGTTAAGAATCCCTGTGCTACACGAGAGCTGGGGGATTTCAGGAGGCCGAGTGGAGTCCGTCAGAGGGGAGGGTGCCCTGAGCAGGAACAGCACGCACCGGATCATGTCGTCGATCATCCTGCCGATGGAAATCTGCAGAGTGCCCAACGACTCATGGGCCGGCAGAATGTAGGCCAGGCGGGTGAAGCTGAGCATGCTGGTGACAGCAAAGAGCACCTCTGCCAAGAACTGGGGGTCTTCAGTACGCCACTCACTGCGCTCTGTGCAGGGTAGAATGGGGGCTGAGGCTGAGAGGGAAGGAAGAGAAGGGACTGGGGGATTCAGGGCTGAGTTGGGGGGCACTCACCAGCTGTGGTGAAATAGTGGCAGGCAGCCCCCTCAGGGGCATCCCGGCAGTGCATCTGGGCAAGCCCAGCCAGGAGGAGGCGCAGTGTGAAGGCCGCCAGGTACAGGGACAGGATGACCACGTCCAGGAAGTTCCACCAGTCCAGGAGGTAACTGCGCAGGCCCTCGATCCACACTTCCTTACACTCAAACCACAGGAAGCCTGAAGGGGGCGGCAGAGGGCCAGGACAGCATGGCGCAGAGCGCTCCTCCTCCTGCCAGGTCAGAGCTAGGCTATGGGGTGGGGGTCGGGGGGCGACCCTATTCACTAGGAGGGGGGTGCAGCTAAAACATCAGGGGATGAAGTTGATAAAATGCAAACATTTAATCTACTTGAGTACCAAGTGATCTTATGTGAAAATAAAAAAGACTCCTGGCTGATGCAGACTCAACTGTGGCGTGGCCTGAGGATCCCAGTCAGCTGATATTCAGAAACTAACACCTGGGAGAGGCTGGTTATTGGGAGGGAACGATTTAAATGTTTCTTCCTGCCCTCCACCAAATAAATATTGGACAAATATTTAAAGAATATTGATTTAAGGGGCTCCAAATTATCAGCCTGCTCATTACCCACCTGGAGCCCAGTGCCAGACCTGGCGATGGGGGTCTTGGGAGCTGGACCCCATCAGCCAGGTGATCCTGCCACATTGTACTCTTCTCCAGTCCCTGGATACAAGTGTGTGCTTTTTCACTGATGGTTCCATCCTCCTAGAATGCACTTCCACAAGCTTTGGAGGCCAGGCTCACCTGTGGCCCAGGTCCAATCTTACCTCCTCTGTCAAGCCTTCCCCACCCCGGGGGAGTGAGCTGCTCTCTGCTCTGTGGTCTCACAGCTCTCTTCAGGTCTCTGTGACGCCATCACTGTGGGGCATTGCAGGGTGTCTCTTCCTGGGTCTGTCTTCCCTCACCTGCCCTGAACTTGGAGCCCCTCAAGGGCAGAGACCACGTCCTATTCATCTCCTTGTTCCCAGTGCCCAGAACAAGGCCTAGTAGTCACTTTTAAACAAATATTTATCAAGCTCCTACCATGTGCCAGTGGGATCCTGCAGTGAATAAGACAAGTGCAGTCTCTGTCCTCCCAGACTCATAATCTAGTCAGGGAGACAGGCAAGTAGCCAAATAGTTAGAACCCAGTGTGGTAAATGCTAAGATTGAGGAGCAGAGACCCTAGGGGCTGTTATGGGAGTGTTTAGGAATGGATCCTCACCCTGATCTGAGGGCCAGGGCAAGCTTCTCACAGAAGGTGACGTTGAAGCTGAGACCTGAAGGAGGAGTAGGAGCCAGCCAGTGAAGGGGCAGTGTGGGAAGGGAAGAGTGCTCTGGGAAAAGAATGAGCACAGGCCTGGAGACAAGCGGGAGCATGATGATTCAGGAACTTAACCAGTTCCCATGGCAGGACAGACCTTGTAAGGGTGGGGTGGGTGCTCAGTAATGAATGTTGAATGGACGGATGGAACCATATTTAATTTATCCCTGTATTCTCAGGGCTTTGCTCACAATAGGGCAGCAGCAAACATTTATTGCATAAAAAATGAGGAGTTTTGTTTCTTAAGACTTTCTTCCCCATGGGCAGGAACTGTATTGGTTTCATCTCCACCCAGCACAGGTCAATAACGTTTAGTAAATAACTGGGTGAGGAACTTTTCCTCGTGGACTGCTTTTGTTTTCGTCCCCTAAGGTTTCTTGGCCAAATTTCCTTTCGGACATCACCGACTGGCTTGGTACAGGCTATAGTAGTGGACTTGGTATGCTGGTAGCCTGGGAGTTTGCTAACAAAGCTAGAGCTAAATGAGGGGAGGACAGCTGAGGAAGGGGCCACCAGTCCAGCCTGCTGAGCTGACCAGCCAGAGGCTAGTTAAAGCTCTGGGGATTCTTGTAAATCGCATTTGCTGAATTGTTTGCAAATACTCGTTCTGCTATAGAAGAAAAGAAAGCCAATAGAACTGATGAAACTTATGCATTAAGCATAAAAAAGTTAGTTATCTGGGTGACATGTTGAACAAATAAAGTAGAGCATATGTGTGTGAACATACGTAGAAAGGGATGGGTAGACACTAAATATTCATGATATCCTGAATATACATGAGGCAGAGGAGGCCCTCAGGATTCATCAGATCTTAAATCAGCTATCCACTGGTGATACCCCACATGTCCTCTGCCCAAAGATTGCAAAGAAAAGTCATAGCTTCTCATCAGGATGATTGGTGAGCTACAGCTGTGGCCAGACATACTTGCCCCTGGGTTTCTCCCATAGATCAAGTGTGGGGCTGGGCAACTTCTGGCTGTTGCATCCCCTGCTCAGACCTCAGCTCTGATCCTCAGAACACCACCATCATAAGTACACCATCTATGAATTTAATAAACTGTATGATTCGAGCATCTTAATTTGGTCTGTTAGCCCTTCTGTTCCGTGACCTTTGGGATAGATTGCCTGGTGGTGTACTTAAAGGCTACCATTACACCAAAGTAATTTGCCACCTGACACCATGGACCAATGTCTTATCTGTGAGAGGATAGAACCTCCAGAATGGGTAGCAACTTATGCCAGGGTAGGGGAAGAATAGGGTCCTTACTTAGCAAATCTATCACAGGGCTAGGTCTCCTAATTTGGGGTGAGGGAGAAAGGTCCCTCAGTGTGCTAGAGCCCACAGGGGTCTGGTTACATGTTCAGGGGGCATCTACAGGGGCAGGGGCCCCCCACTGGGATACTTATCATGAAGAACAGTGAGGGGACCCCAAAGGGGGACTGCCACAAATAAAAGGCCCCACACATGTACCTGCGACCCAAACCATGTGTAGTGAAGTCTCCCAGACGCTCTGGCTGCGGCCGTGGAAGGTACTGAGCTGTGTCTCCATGACCAGGGACTCTCCCAGCAGGAAGATGAGGAACCACAGATAGGAGGCGGAGTGCAGCAGGAACTTCAGCACTGGGATCTTTAGCAGGCGGCCCAGCTTGGGGGGAAGGGGGAGAGCATGGCTCTCAGAGTCCTGTTCACATCTCTCCCCGTCTTGGGAGAACTTCCGGAATACTCAGGCCACACGGGACTCCTCCTTTCACTCACTCACTCACTCAGACATTTATCGAGAAAGTATGACTATATATTAGACTTTACACTTTAATATCTATTGTTTCCTTCAAAACTGTATGAGGTGGTGTTATTCTTCCCATTTTTTCGGGTAAGGAACTGAGGATCACAGAGGGAAAGTAACTTTCTCTTGGTCCCACAGGCTCTTCAATCCCAACGATAAGAAATTAAAACATACATTCATCATCTTCACTCCCAAACTTGTTCCTCCTCCTCTTGTGTCCCCTTCTTAGAAAATGACCTAGTCATCCAGGCCAGGACCCTTAAAGGCATCTCTATGTCCTCTCTCACACAGTCTGACAGTCTCCCTAACTCCTCCCCATCCTCCAATCCACCCCTCACATCACTAGTAGAGAGAGCTTTCTACCACACAGATCTGATGTGATCACTTACCTCATTAAAGTCCTACAGTGGTTCCATCATGGCTTATAAGGCTTTGCGCGATCTGGCCCCTGCCCACTTCCCACCACTCGCTGTTTGCGCTTACACCTTAGTGGCATAGAATTCCTTTCAGTTTCTTTAGTACTTTACATCTTCCCTTCCCTGGGTCTTCAGACTGCTGTTCCTGCTTCCTGGAACACTGCTCTCCCTATCTCTCACCTTGGCCACAGGGACAGGGCTTGCTCTTTTTTCCCCAGCACTAGCACAATGCCTGGCTCACAGTAGCATCTCTAGGAAATGTTTGTTGAATGAAGGAATAAAAATATTTGGATTCACAAGGGCTCCCAAAGAATTTGTAGGTTGGGGCAGTAGTCTCTTTAGGAGAGTATAGGGCTGTATACAGGATTCAGGTTTTGGAGGCAGAGAGACCTCAGTTTACATTCTGGCTCTGCTATTTACTGTGTCTCCTGGACACAAAGAGCATTTCTGTTCCTGTGCCTATGAAATAGAGGCATAATGCGTACCCTCCAGGGCCACCTTGAGTTACTTAATGGGACTATTCCCAAAGTGTCCAGCCCAGGGCCTGGCATAGAACAAGTGCTCAATACGTGACAGTTATCATTAATTTTATTCTTAGTACCCGGGACTTGGGCGCCAGCCAGTAGCCAAGGCAGAGGAAGGGCATGGTGAGGAAGATGAGGAAGGCGACAAACAGCTTCCAGATGGTGGTGCTTCCACGCCAGCCGGCCAGGTTCCCACACCAGATGGAGGACAGGACTTGCTGGCAGATGGGGTGTGCTACAAACTAAGCAGAGACGGGGCGTGAGCAGAGGGGGTGGCCTCCAGGCAGGGAGGACGAAGGGGGAGCCCTTACTTTCCTGCCATAGAGATAGAGCCATGTTTCTTTTCTTCCCAGGCCAGCCAGCTCAGAAGAGAGGCAACTCACTTGCCGTGTGACCTTGGGCAGACCCCCCCACTTTGGGCCTTGGGTTCCGTCTCTGAGGGAGAAGCTTAACTCAGACTTTCCTGGACTCTCTGGATCCCACATTCTTGAATCTAAGCCAGGCAGTCGTGAGTGGAATGGGCACCTGAGTCAGAGCACTCAGGGTTCCCTGTCTCCTTAGAGATGTTGGGCACCAGCCAGAGGTCTTGAGGAGAGGGGGAGCAGGGAAAGCAGGGATTGGGGTCATGGGGGCAGGGCCAGGGGAGCCATTATGAAGGAAGGCTTTTGGTTAAGCTCCTCATGGACTAGGATGTCTGAGGGTGGGTGAGAGGCAGGAGTAAGGAGCTGTGGGAGGCTAGGAAGGGAGTATGCTTTAGCTTAGGGGGGAGGGATGAGACATGAAATAACAGAATCACTTGATATCTGAGCCCTGAGAGATCTAGTCTAATCTTGCTGAATAGAGTGAGATATTGAAGTCTAGCAACAGAAAAAGCCTGGACCCAAGTTACTCAGCAGGCCAGAGGCAGAGCTGAGCGTAAGACCCAGATGTCAGGTCTGAAGGTGGGGTCCTGGTGGGTATGAGACTTCCAAGGCTGGGGAGAGGTTAGGGGCTTAGATTGAAGGTAAAAGGGAGGGTGGGAGACCCACAGGATCAAGGGCCTAGATAGAAGGATGCTCAGAATCAAGGTCTAAGGGGGTCCTGAGGGCAGGGAAAGGACTTGCGTAGGGCTGGAGTGAGGGATACCTAGATGTGGGGCAAGGGATCAGGGTAGCCGGGTGGGGGAGATGAGTAGGACCCAGCTGACCCGCTTCTGGTTGTAGTTGACGGCCAGTCGCAGCCTCGCCAGGTTGGGGATGCCTTCCTCAAAGGCCTGGCCCAGGGCCTCAGCCTCGGACTCGGTCTCGCTGTCCTTGCCCAGGTCATTGAGCACCGCAGTGACCTCGCTCTGGTTCCGGCACATGCCCAGCAGTTCAAAACCGTAGTCCTGGCTCAGCGACTCTAAGGCAATGTATTCAGGCTGCAGGGAAACAGGTCCGTGTGTGCCTGCCGCCTCGTGGACCCAGCCCCATTCAGTGGCCCCCGCCCTCCCAACTGTGGGCCTGGGCCACTTCAGTCCTGCCCTCGGGCCATTAATTCCCCAGATCTGGTGTTGTGCTGGGTCATCCATTCCTTTCTTCTCTGCCACCTCACCTCTCCTCCTTGCTATAATGAGGTGTCTCCTGTGTCAACTTTGCTTATCTGGTGCTACCTCTACCTCATCACTAAGGCATTTCAACCCAAACCTCTCTGTCACCTTTGCCCATCCTTTGTACTTCCCTTTTCCAAGCCCTATTTCCTGTCTCACTTCTACTCCTATTCTTCATGCCTTTCTTGTGTTCATTTAATTGTTTTGAGCACCTGCCTTATGTGAGAACCTGTGCTGGCAGTATTAGGAGATCAGACATGAGTAAGGCAGTTCTTGCTTCCACCTTACCCATCTTATCCTCGGTTTCACTTGGAGCCCTAACCCCAGAGAGAATCCAGGCTAGGATTTCAGGAGTCTGGGTCTGAGTTCCAGCACTTTTCCTCAGGTGGTGTCACAGTGGGTAAGGTACTTCTCTTTTCCAGGCCTCAGCTCCCTTGCCTGGAAAGTGGGGATGTTAATTCCTGCTCTGCCTCCTTCCACGGGCTGCTGTGAGAATGGAGGGAAAGTCCTTTGGGAAGGATCGCACTTTCCTGCTACCTGTGAAGTGGGGACTTTTCATTCTCTGATCCTTCCACAACTCTGGGACGGAGGTGGAATGCTCTTTCTCTAGCTCGCCTGGCACAGGCCACATCCTGCCTTAGGCCTCTGTTTTAATATCTTTGTCTTTTCCCCACCTGATGGTCATCTTGAGCATGGCGACCAAGTCTGTCTGGCACAGAGGGGATGCCAGTGGATGAGTGATGGATGGAACTGGACTGATGGGATTCAGGGCCCCTGACCAGTTCCTGCCTCCAGGCCTCCCTGGTTCCCCTTCACACATTCTCTGTCCTGCACAGGGTCTCCCCTGCACTCATCGCGATGTCTACTTTTGCTGCCTGACAGCCTTTGCTTGAACCGCATCCCTACCTCAGATGCCCTCCCTACTCCTCTTCACTTGTATTAAACCACCCGCTCATGTAGCCAAGATTAACCCTGCTTCTTCCAAGGAGTCTGCCCTGAACACAACGGCTATAGCTTCTTGACTTCTCTTTTCTGGGCTTTGGAAGCCCTGTTAGCACCATCCACAGAGGCACTGAATGAAGCTGAGTGTCCCGGGAGCGTCTTGTCCACCTCTCTGCCCTCCCCCTGCTCATGATCACAAACTTGAGGCCCCAACACATGATGCTCTAGGTGGGACCACAGAGCAAGTACTCAGAAAGGATGGGTTCTACTGAATGTCATCTCTGAGTCTGTCCAGTGTTTTTCTATCTGTGTTCTCTCTCCTCCCTCAGAAAGACCCAGGGTACCTCTAGGCTGGGACTTGTGCTGCCCCCATAAGACTAGGTGCCCCTAGAGTGATAGCTCTCTGCCATTAAAATGAGATCCCTCTCAGGGTGGGATTCTGTGAATCCCCATCAAAATGGAGGCTTCTTGAGAACAGCAAGAGGCCTCATCATCTTTCTGTTGTTTCCCACTTTCCCTGAACACCCACACAGGCCCAACCATACCCCAGTGGAAGAACAGATACGGGGCACCGAGGGCTGGGGAAAGTATAAGAAACCAACCTTAAACTCAGGCTCCTTGCGTGCAAGGCGCCTGAGCTCGCGGCTGAGCTGGAAGGCAGCCATCATGGCATCCTCACTGGCCAGTGAGAGGTGGGCCCTGCTGGCAATGCCCCGGTAGGTGTTGATGCGGGACAGGGAGAACTTCAGCAGGTCATAGCGGCGGGCATTGCTGCACTCGAGGCAGGCGCAGGAGACTGGGTGGGGCCGGGCAATGGTGTGGCCCTGGTCCATGAGCAGCTGTGCAATCTCATACAGGTCCTTCTGGCAGGCCAGGGTGAGTGGAGTGATACCAGGTGCAAAGCGGGAGCCATCGATTGATGAGTCAAAGAAAGCCAGTGAGAAAGACCTGGTGTCCACTTTGCGGCCCTTCTCCCGTTCCAGCCGGGCCAGCAGGCGACGCACCACTGCTGGCTGGTTTGTGTCCACCGCCACTAGCAGCGCCTCATGGATTTGCCGGAAGTCAAACTTGACATTGGCCAACAGCACATCAGTGATGGCCTCGTGGCCCAGGCGGATGGTCAGATTGAGAGCTTCCCTCCAGGAGCGGTCCTCGGTCTCCTCCACATTCCGCAGGGGCCCACCTGGCCCGCTGCCTGTCGCCTCGACCCCTGACTCCAGCAGCTGCTGCACAAGGCCCAGCCGCCCCTCCTGGATGGCGCTCAGGAGTAGAGGTGGGAACTTCACCTTTTTGTTCACGATCTCGGTCCAGTTAGGCTGTGGAGAGTGGAGAGGGTGGGACCCCGAGTCTCCAACCTCCTTCGCCATGGGGCCTCCCTCCCCCTTCTACCTTCAAGCCCTTAACCCTCTATACCCAGCCACCATTATAGTCATCTGTTCCAAACATATACTAACAAAATTATTTTTGTTTTAAGTAACACTTAATGTAGTGCTTATATATGGTAGGTAGTTTTCTAAGTGCTTCACAAGTGCAGTAACTCATTGAATCCTTACAATAACCCTGTGTGGGAGGGCTATCACCCACCCTCTAACAGGAGAGGAACCTGGAGTACAGACATGCCAAGCCACTCAGATGACATGGGAACCCAGGCAGTCTGGCTGAGGGGTTGGTGCCCTTAACTACTCTTCTATTGCTACTCCTCAACTCAAATAGGAATTATTATTAGTAGAGTAGCTTTTGGATTTCTGGAATCTCTACTTCTTCCAAAACCCCCAAATGTGGGATTTGGGATATAATAATGTAGATAAATAAATGATGCAATATTTTTCTTTTTTAATAAGAAAAATAATGACACTACCACATTTATCTAAAGGTTTTACTCTAAAATTCTACATTAAATGTTATATACTCTAGTATATATGGTTTATGAATTATATGGTTTATATAATATGATCATCTTGTATGACAATATGAACATTGCAAAAAAATTATGTCTGTGTAGGGGATAAATTTCATTTCCATATTTTCTAGGAATCAATCATTTTGGAACTATCCCTTCATACCTTTTGTAATAATAGCTTCTTGTATAGATTTGTTAAGCTGTTAGTAAATAATACCCCATTTACTGATGATGTGAAATACTGATGATAATATTTAGAAAACTGGTCTTGGTTGAAAAACGCATCTTTCTTTTTCTTTTTTTCAAACTTAGTGGTTTAAAACCTGGCAAATTTATTCTTTTATGGTTCTAGAGGTCAGAATTCAGAAATCAGTATCATTGGGCCTGATTGCCCTGTCTAGGCGTTGGCAGGGCAGGGTGGCTCTAGGGGAGAAGCTTTTTCTAATTTCTAGAGCTGTACTCCCTGCATTCCTTAGTTTATGGCCACATCTTCCATCTTAAACCAGCAGCATAGGATCTTTAAATCTCTTGAAGATGACAAAAATTTTCTTAGTCACCATTTTATTGTGTGGATTCTCAGGTTAGGAAAATGCCAGGACTGGGTCTGATTTGGGGCCCCTTCTAACTTAGCACAACTTCCATCCTTACAGGAACCCCCACACACAGTAGGGCCAAATGTGGGACCTTGAGAAAGGGTAGGTTAAACAGGTGGATGGGGCTGCACTGGGAGCCTAACCCCACAAGCAGGCACACACGGTCTGTCCAGGACCCAGCTCCCATCTTGTTGACTTCATCTCCCAGCTGCTCATCCCTCTGGAAGTCCCAGAGCCTCCGAAGGACAGGTCCAGACTTGTCCACACAGGAGGGTCTTTGAACTGGGCTTTTCCCAAGCCCCTCAGCTCTGTCCAGGCCTTCTAGAAGGAACCCAACAGGCTCTTCCTCCACCAACCCACCTGGCTTTGCCCTCTCCTCTTGGGTGGCATTTCTCCCCCTCGGTGCCACCTTGTCCCTCTCTTCTACCAGGCCCAGCCCCATCCTCACTGTTCTTCTCTTCTGGGCCCAGGCTCAGGGCTCCCAGGGCTCTTCTCCCACCCACATGGTGATGTCCACCACCTGCATGGCAGCTAGGATGTCCCTGCCACCCCTCTGGGTCAATCTGTTGTTTTAATCATGGCTAGAAGTGGGACCAGGATGGGGTAAGGTAGGGGAGCAGAAGGCCTCTTACCGTGAGGGGGTCCATGGCTGCACGCACCTATGCTGGCAGGGACTGAAGGACTGAACTCCTGCTCTGTCTGCTCCCCTGACTGTGCCCAGCTTCCTCTTTCCTACCCACTCAAAACCCCGCCCTGGGCCCTCTCTTTGCCAGGACCAGCTGCTCCCCTTCTGCCCTGTACCCTGGAGACCGGGGGAACTGGTGTTAGTGCCACACAATGAAATCTTCTGGGAAACAGGAGAGAGGACATAGTTGCTCAAAGAAGGTGGGAAGAGAATTTAGAACATCATAGTGGAGGGGACCTTACAGACCCTCTGGTTCAACTGCCTCTTTGTACAGATGGGGACTGGGGTTTACCCAAGGTTCCACAGCCAAGCCTAGAACTTCCATCTGATCCCTATAATAGCTTTGTGAGAGGGATTTTCTCTCTGTACTGAGGGTTAATTCTGGGCCCAAGATAAATAATTTACTTAAAGTCATACAGCAAGACTGTTACCTGATTATACCAAGGGAGGGAACCCACAGAGGATAAGGAGAGTTAAGTTCATGGGACACTGGAGGTCAGTCTCACGCTCAAAAATCACTCTCGCCTTCCCAGTACACCACAGGATCTTATCTGTCAGGCAGTGCTTTTCTTTACACCAGGACTCAGTTTTCTTTCCAGGAAAATGGGCATGAGGATACACATCACTCATCAAGGGGAAGGCATTCGGGATTGTGTCCCAAAGCCCTAGAGAGATCACCAATTCTACCCCAGAAGTTCCAAAGGGGAAAAGGATGGAGCTGTCCTTGCGAGAATAGGGTGCCATGGTGACAGGATCCTTGACAACTGGGAGTGGGGAGCAGGCTGGGCCCAGAGGTGCCCTCAGGCAGAGTCCTGAGGGAAAATGAGTGGAGGGAAGGAGAGGGGTCAGCCTGGCCTCATCAGCTCTTCTCAGCTGTCAAGAGATCCACTCCCCAGTTTTAGTCATAGATGGGCAGAGGGGGCCAAAACCAAAGGGCCTCATGTCTCATGACTGAGGGACCTCCCCACACATGCTGGCATGTTCTTCTACTTCTCCTGCTGAGAACTGCAACTGGCAGATAGGACACTGGACCCAGGAAGTGGGTGGTGAGCTCTCCGGGGAGGACACCCACAGTACAGACTGCGATGAGGATGGTGATGAGGAGGGAGAGGCTGAGTGAGGTGGGGAGGTCTCTCCACAAGTGGCAGCGTGCTGGAGAAGAATCTCAATGCTGAAGAAGCCTAAGGGGGAGAGAAGGAGGTAAGCAAAACTGGGCCTGCTCCCAGGCAGGAGGCCACCCCAAGCAATATTTTGCTGTCAAAATGCAGCTGTTTTTGTAGGAAATTTATTACAGTTGAAGATTTTACACCTGAGAGACACTAACCAGTCATGAAGCTACCAAACATTTATCAGGTGTTCACTATGGGCCTGACACTGTGCCAGGAGCTGAGGGATGTAAAGCCAGGCCTGTCCTTATGGACTGTAGAGTCTAGGGGGAAAGAAGCTTTGACCACAAGTAACTATGATACAAAGCAGAAGGTGACTTTGAAGCGCTAAGCCCAACGGAATCAGGGAATGCTGCAGGAGCTCAGTGGGAGAGACTATCTGAGAAGCTCAAAGAAGACTTAGCAAACAAGTCTATGTTCACCATGTGAACAGAGACTTAGAGAGTAAGTAGAATTTGGACATGGAGGAGAGTTACGAAGGAAATTCTAGTCCCTCTCTGATAGCGTTTTATATTGTTTTGTTCCATGTTTCTCCTGAGGACAGGGCCCATGTCCCTTCCTCAGCTTGGCCAACACAGTGTGAGCAGATGCTCAATATAGACTTGTATGTAACCACAGAGATGACAGAGGCTAGGAGTCCAAGTTCAAATGTTTCCTGGCAGCACTCCCAGATCTCCTATTCCTCCCTCAAGGGATGCCTAGAGGTCACACGACAACCCCTTGTGTGCAAGCAGCTTACCTGCACAAATGGGGCACTGTCCATTGTCCTGGGCCCCGCTGCTTTGGGCCTGGGGTCGGTGGTGTTCTCTTTGCCCTGCCTTTGCTATCCCCCTCCTGTTTGGCTGAGAGTTTGAGTTGGATAAAGGCCTGTGAGAAAGAATAAAGACAAGCCATTAGCAAGAGGCCATAAGGGCTGAAGGAGCCTTGGATTAGGGTGAAAAGAATGTAGAGTAGTTGATGTGGAGCCAGGAGCCCTGGGTTGGAGGCCTGGTTTTCCCACTGAATGTATCAGACTTGAGGGAAGTCATTTAACTTTTGAACATCTGAGAACAGAGCTTTTATTACTGCCTTCAGGTTTTTTATTGAGATATAGTGCACATCCCATAAAATTCATCCCTTTAAAGTATACTATTTAATGGTTTTAGGATGTTCACAAAGTTGTGTAACCACTACAACTATCTAATTCCAGAACATTTTTATCACCCCAAAAAGAAATCCTGAACCCATTAGTAGTTACTCCCCATTCCTCTATCGTCACAGACCCTGTGATGATAATCACTAATCTACTTTCCATCTCTATGGATTTGTCTATTCTAGACATTTCATATAAATGCAATTATATAATATGCAGTCTTTTGTGACAGACTTCTTTTACTTAGTATGTTTTCAAGGTTCATCCATGTTGTAGCATGTATCAATAGTTCCTTTTTTGTGGCTGAAAATATTCCATTGTATAGATACATCATATTTTGTTTATCTATTCATCAGTTAATGAACATTTGGGTTAATTCTACTTTTTGGCTATCGTGAATAATGCTGCTACGAGCATTCATCTATACATTTTTGTGTGAACACCTGTTATCAATTCTTTGCGGGTATATTCCTACGAGTGGAATTGCTGGGTATGGTAACTCTAGGTTTAGCTTCTTGAGGAACTGCCAAATTGTTTACCAAGGAGACTGCACCATTTTACCTTCTCACCAGCACTGTATCAGAGTTCCAATTTCTCCACACCTTTGCAATACTTTGCCAATAAGTGTCTTATTTATTTATTTATTTTTATTTTTTTAAAATTTTTTGTGTGGGAGATCAGCCCTGAGCTAACATCCATGCCAATTCTCCTCTTTCTTTGCGGAGGAAGACTGGCCCTGAGCTAACATCTGTGCCCATCTTCTTCCACTTGATGTGGGACACCGCCACAGCATGGCCTGACAAGCAGTGTGTTGGTGCGTGCCTGGGATCTGAACCCGGGCTGCCAGCAGCGGAGCACATGCACTTAACCACTATGCCATGGGGCCAGCCCCAAAGTGTCTTTTTGATTATAGCCATCCCAGTGGGTGTGAAGTGATCATTGTGGTTTTGATTTGCATTTCTCTGATGGATAATGATGTTGAGCATCTTTTCATGTCCTTATTGGCCATTTGTGTATCTTCTTTGGAGAAAACTCTATTCAGATCCTTTGTCCATTTTAAAAATTAGGCTATCTTTTTATTGAGTTGTAAGGGTTCCTTATATAGTCTAGATACAAGTGCCTTATCAAATATATGATATGCAAATATTTTCTCACATATTCTGTGAGTTGTCTTTTTATCTTCTTGACAGTGTCCTTTGATGCAGGAAAAGATTTAAATTTTAATGAAGTCCATGAGATACAGTGTACTCACCTTCAGATGCTGGTTCAGTAGGGGGCTACCTGCTTGCCTGGCTCCAAGTCTGACAACACGTGGACAAGGACATCTTTTCTCCACCACCCTCTAGGGCCAGACATGAGATCAAGACCCAGACACAAGGGTATGCTCTGACCTAACTGAAATACGAGTGGGGGAAGGACAGCTAGAGAAGGGCAGTAAGGTCTGGGGAGGTGATCTGGGTCTTTCAGGTTGACCTACTCACCTGCGGGCTTGCACTTTCCGTCTCTTCGTCCTGCCCACGCGGTTCTCTGAGGTTTGCTCCTCTGGTCTGGACTCTGTGTTAGAAATGCTCATTAAATCCAGCTCATTAACAAAAGGGCCTGCATACATGATGTTCTTTCTTTTAAGAATATTCTTTCTATCCTCTTTGCCTGGTTAATTCTTTCTTACTCTTTAAGTCTTAGATGAAATGCTGGTTCCTGTGATGCACTTTCCCTGGATTCTCTAATCTAAACCTTGTCATCCTATTATGCTTTGCCTTTGAAGTACTTATCACAGTTTTACGTTTTAGACTTCCTTGTGTGACACAGACACACGTCTCTCCATTAGGGTAGGAGCATTGCTCTTTTATTTCCTGTGGTATCTTCGGCACTTAGCACAGAGCCTCGCACATACAGATGTTCAATAAATATCTGTCAAATGAGTGGTAACAAAAAACAGCAACAAAAACTTGTCTAGCTATTCAGAACTTATAAAACACTTTGTATAGCATTTAATATATTTTAAAGTACTTTCACAGCTCCACTGCCCAGCCTGTAGAGTGTCCAAAAAAAGATTAATTCCCTTCTCATTCTTGGTCTCTTAAAATAAACTACATCCTTCCTTAGGTGGTAAGCAGCTTCTGAAATGACTCCCACTGATTCCTGCCTCCTGGTATTCATGCCTCCACTTGAGTGTGGGCAGGACCTAGTAACTTGCTGCTAATGAATAGAATATGGCAAAAGTGATGGGATGTTACTTCCATGATTAGGTTACAAAAGACACACTTCTTGCTAGCACTCTCTCTCTTGCCCTCTAGCTTGCTCACTCTGATGAAGCAAGCTGCCATATTGTGAGATGCTCTGTGGAGAGGCTCTCATGGCAAAGAAACTAAGGGAAGCCACGAAGAACTGAATCCTACCCACAACCATGTGAGTGAGCTAGGGAACAGATCCTTTATGGCTGAGATGACTGCAGGCTTGTGACAGATTCAGAGCCAGGGGACCCAGTTAGCCACACCTGGATTCCTAATCAGGAGAAACTGTGAGATAATAAATATTGTTTTAAGCCACTAAGTTTTGGGGTAACTTGTTACACAACAATAGACAACCAATGTACCCTATTTCTGCAATGAAATGATATCCTCATTATTTCACTAATTTGTTCAGTTCTTTGAAATGACAGATAAACTATTTCCTTTTTAAAAATTTTCCCAATGAAGCAATGAGAGAAAGCAAGGGTTTCAATGAGAACTCTACTTGTTTTCTCTCTCTTGCTATCTAGAATAGTAAAAAGAACAAGTGCTCTGGGGTTCAGATCCTGGCTCTGCCACTTAGCAGCTGTGTGACTCACAATATTTAGCTTCTCTGAACCTCAGATTCTTTGGTAAAATGAGTATAACAGTATCTACTTCATAAGTCTGTTGTGGACATTAAATAGATAAAGTTAGTGAAAGTGCCTAGCAACGTCCTGTGCAAAGTAGGAACTCCAAAATGTTTAATCCTTTCTTCCTCTGCGATAAATCCACACTATTCCCCTATTTTATTTTTCCAGTAAGCTCCACACACCACCACCGTGACTTAATAGTCATTCTGAGATGATCACAGAACATTAATACTGCAATAGGCCTAAATATGATTTGATTTAATTCCTTCACTTTGAAGATGAGGGACTTGAGGCCCAAAGAGAGAGAGATTCCTGATTCCTAAGCCAGTGCTCTTTCAATTACTATACAATATTTGATTTCTCTTCTGGTAACAGGACACTGACAACTGTCTTTTCTCCCACACGCAGTCTCATTTGTGAGCCATCCTTGTACAGGAGTGGTGGATTCAGGGAAGCAGGACAGCGTTAGGGAGAGTAAGGAGCCAAAGGTAGGTCATGGGGCCTCACCTGCGCTGTCTGGATGACGGGGACCTGGTTCTGCGTGGCTGTTCTTTGGGCTTGCCACACTGGCTGGGGGCGCCCTACGGGCAGCTGAAAGCACCATGCAGGCTGATCGCCCCAGAGTCCCTGGCTGCAGCTGCTTTAGGATATTCCTAAGCTCTGAAATTTCCTTGGTGCTCCTGCAACGAAACAGAGAGTACTTGGTTTCACTCAGAAGAGAAGCTCCATTCTGCTCACCCAAGTCAATGGCATCTAACCAAGAAAGGCAGTCTTATACACAGATGGGGTTAGGCTTAGCATATGTGATTAATTGAGGGAACCGAGGCTGGGCTTGTGTGCCTGTGAGTGACTTGGTAGCCTTTCTCTTCCAGGAGAAAGAACTGAGAAGTGGCTGGGAGACCTCCACTTTGGCAGCACGTACATTTGGGGATCTGGGAAGAATGTCCTCCGGATGGAAGGATTAGCCAGCCAGGGGCTAGGATCAGATTCCTGAGCATCAGACGAGCCCTGAGGAGAAGAAAATGGAGAAATATGAAATACACTGCTAGAGGACACTGCCACCTAGTGTCAGGGATACTCCCAAACCTGAGGAATTGAGCTTAGTTAATGAGTGAACAAACGTGGCTATAACTTGGGCGTGGCGCCTGTGCGCACATTGTCTTCCAGCTCTGGGATGTGAGGTTCTGTGATTCTGCATACTTAGTTCCTCAATGCTAAGGGTTCTGTCATGATTCTGAAAGCCCCTGGGATAAAAGAATACACAGGAAAGACAGGACTATGGGACTGATACCATGTGCAAACTTTTGAAAGCATATTTGTACATATATAAAATTGATTCATGTAGGTAAAAAACTCAAATCATTCCTCTCTCTTTATACACCTGTGTGAGAGAAACAAATCATACACATATATTTCTTCTTCTTTTTTTTTTTTGGTGAGGAAGATTGGCCTAAGCTAACATCTACTGCCAATCTTCCTCTTTTTATTTGAGGAAGATTGTCCCTGAGCTAACATCTGTGCCAATCTTTCTCTAGTTTGTACATGGGACACTGCCACAGCGTGGCTTGACGAGTGGTGTGTAGGTCCGTGCCTGGGATCCGAACCCATGAACTCTGGGCTGCTGAAGCAGAATGCGTGAACTTAACCACTATGCCACACGGCCGGCCCCCATATATATTTCTTTATAATTACAAATAATTCCATTTTGAAGTATTTTGGGAAATTTTTGTCAATTTTCCCTTCTAAATATTATTTAATAACATTGTTTAATTTCCAGCATGATTTATTTTGTGAACAATTTTGGTCACATGCAACTAAAAACTTACCAATTTTAGCCACTATTTCTAGCTATCTGTAAAAAGAGAATATGTATGTGTATATTTGTGTATATAGATATCACATCTCTCTCTAGCATCAGCCGCTATATCTAATTATCACAGGCATTTTATAAACCCCTATACTTCTAACTCCAGAAATGCCTATGTGCAATAATCTTGAAACAGATGATTTCTACATAGATCTTATTTATGTGGTATGCTACAGTTTCTTAATTCTTTGTCAAAATTCAAGTTATCTGTGTTGATTCATCTGTAGCTATTTCCTTTTCTATTTTTCCAAATTTCCTTTTTTCCCTTGAATTTAAAAAAATTTTTAAAAATTTGTCTTTAATTTTCAGCTCTGGTTCTTTTATTAGATTCTTTTAAAGGGAAATATCTTTCTTCTAAAGCATGACTTTGGCCTCATTCTGCAAGTTTGAGAAGTAGTATTTTCACTCTCATTCACTGTTTAATATTTTCTAATTGCTATTACAATCTCTTCTTGGATCTAGCATTAATTTTGAAATAGTTTCTTTAATTTTCCAGGGTTTTTATTTTTTCTTTACCTTGTCTCATAAATTTTAGAGTGAATCTATTAGAAAGGGTAACTAGATGGGTGTGTAGAGATGGTTTACTTAACCCTAACTCTAAATGAGATTAGTCACTAGGAACCGAGCTCCTGAGCACAGGCTAAGTGGAGTCAGGCGGCCTGGGTTCAAATCCACTCCAAGACTTATTTAGCAGTGTGACCTGGAATGCCTCCCCTTCCCCTCCTTAATTTCTCTCTGTTTCTGTTTCCTTACTGGGAAATCGGTGATCATAAAAGACCCTATTTCATACGGTGAAAAGCCTTTATGTTTTGCTTTCATTATGATATACCATTAGAATGACACATTACAAAAAAAAGCCTATGACATTTTAGTCATCTTAAATTATAAAATTGAAACAAGAAACAATTACACAGAGACAGAGATTGGATTGCTGGTTAACAGAGGGGAAGAGGGGAGGGAGGAGGGCGAAAGGGATGATTAGGTACATGTGTGTAGTGATGGATTGTAACTAGTCTTTGGGTGGTGAACAGGATATAATCTATATAGAAATTGAAATACAGTGATGTACACCTGAAATTTATATAACGTTATAAACCAGTGTTACTGCAATAAAAAAAATTATTAAATTGTGGGCCATCAATTCATTTCCATGTACCAACCCTCTCTTGTAGAAATGTTTCAGGGTCTCCTTTCCCTGTGGTTTCATTGAGGTAGCTGCATGTGTATTTCACTCTGTTATTGATGTTCAATGCCTTTCTGACATTATGGCTCTGGAGTTGCTGACTCCCTCCTCAATCCCACCATGGTCCTAAAGGAGCAGAGTAATTTAGATGGCCAAAATGGAAAAGACTCTAGGAAGCCCTTATTTATCCTACAGTTAGGGAGACCATATGTCCTGGATTGCCTGGGATAGTCCTGCTTTATGTCTGTTGTCTTGGTATAATTATTAAGAGCACTCTTTTTTGCTCTCAAAGTGTCTTTTTGGATGATAAATTTTATGGTGACCCTATCCACAACTCACTGCTGAAAGGTCATTTATATAATGAACATTTACACTAAAAGCCTACTTTGTCTAGGCACTGTTCTAGCTGCCAGGAATGTATTATGGAACAAGACAAACAGGTCCCCAATCTCACAGAGCTTCCAGGTGATTGAATAGCCAGGGCCACAGAACTCTAGCTCCGTTCAGGTCAGCTCCCGGAACTGCAATATCAGAACTTGGCAGAGCACACTGAGCTGCCTCCACTAGTCCTTTTGTATTTTTTAGCCCTTCCCACAATGGAAGGGTAAATCTCAGACCAATCTTTACTTCGGCTCAGCTCTCTGCATCCCTCCCAAGGCTGTACTACAAAAGCGTCTACTCCTCCATTGTCTGCTCTAACTCTATTTTCTCTTCCCGATGCCCAGTCACTTCTTTGTCTCGGTAACCTCAACAGGAGTGACACCTGTGAGATTCACCCCTGGGAACTGAAATTCTTTGGCTATTTCAAATGTTTGAAGCTTCTAAAAATGTACTGTCTGCATAGTAAGGACTGTGGTGTAGTGACAGGAGACCTGATTTCTAGTCCCTGCTCGCTCTGACTCACCATGTGAATTTGAATATGTAAGTTTCTCTATCTGAGATATAAAATGAAGTAGTTGGGGCTTGGTGATTTCTCAGTATTTTTTCATCTCTAGAATTCTATGACTCTAGCTTTGTGTAATTATATTTTCCTATTTGTTTGCGAGTGAATTATGGTGGAGGGTACTGGCTTGGAAAGATAACTGGAGACACCAGTACCTAGAAAGCTGGAGGAGTCAGAACAGACAGGAAGAAAAAGTAACCAGAAAACTGGCTGAGAAAAGGGGAGGTAAATTGAGCAGATACCTATACATAGCCAGAAACCTATACATCTTCTCTTAGACGTATGTGTGTTGTACAAGGACAGACAGCAGGGGAACAAATGAAATTGTAGAGCACATATCTAAGAATATAACTGGCTTTGCTAGGCAGTAGGGTCAGAGAACAACAACAATGACAGAGGTACTGTAAGTGAGCCCTGGGACTTTCAGGTGCTAGAAGGAAAAGTCTGATGAAAGCTATAGCCCCCAAGAATCTAGAAATAAAGTATGAGATTAAGTTTGAAGCCAAAAAGAATTTCATTATGGCTAAGGAACAAATGGTCCAACAGCTTTGTGCACTCTATTGAAGGCTCACTCACTAGAATCTTCCACATGTGAAAGGGAAGGAGAGGCATTCACTCCTACCTCTAAGAAAGGGTAGCAAGCCCATTTATGTCTGTATTTGAATGTATGTGTGTGTCTGTGTGTCTCTCTCTCAATCAAGCACCAGCTTCCTAACCAGAAACTGAAAAGGGTGGGGAAATATTAAGTCCTTGTTCCACCATCATACATACCTGGCTCAGCCCAGAGCTCACAGGGGTTGAGGGACCCACCGCAGGGTCATCTAAGGAGTCCAGAGAGGAACACACCCGCAGGAAGGCCAGGCCAAAGGGCTGATGACGTGTGAAGGGTTGGGAACAGGTCAGGCGAAGCCGATCCCATGGCTCACCTGAGGCTGGAGCCAGGAAATCATCTTAAGGAAAATTAGAAAGACAATGAGGGGGAAAGAAAATGCATGAGTGGGAGGGAAAAAGGAAGAGAAGGTTAATACTGAGGAGAGGAAAGAAAAGATAGGGACTACATAGAGTAAACTCCAACAAAAGGAAGAATGGAGGTCATCAGTTAACTGGCCCCTCAGGCTTTGGTGCTCAAGAGTTGGCAGTGCCACGCAGGCCAGTCAGGGCCCTCTCAGACCCAGGGCCTTGCCTGCTCACCATTGCTCCTCTGTCACGGTTCCACACAGTTACCAGCCTGAGTACATCCTCATTCTACACCTCTCCAGGGACCTTATCAACGTCTCATTTTCACAGGAGGTATCTGTAGTGTTGGGGCCTGGGGTGACCACTTGCCCAATGGATTAGCTGAGCTACATCTATCCTTCCTGGACCATGAGACTGCAACCTCCCTTACACCTCCACATGCCCTACACACCCACTCACAGTACCACATACCAATACTACAAACCCTACTCACCTTCAGTTCCCAGCACTATCTAGTCAGCACCTCATCTCCTCCACCTTGTATGCCCCTCCCATATTGCTCTTCCTTCACAACATTATGAACACCTCCAATTTAAACACAGCCAAATCCTTACTAGACTGTAAGTCTTTAGAAGCCGGGAATCAGATCTTATGTTTCTTCTGCAGTGTCTGGTGAACACAGATTTGCATAGAACAGAACTCAGGAAACACTATATGCTACATAACTATAACCATCAGATAGCCTTCCATCACTTACATAAACATTTATCCTACACTTACATTTATATACATTTATACAAACAAAAACACACTAATCACAAATATGGATTCTACATCAGGCTCCAGTGAATCACATGTTGTGTATAAATATAAATCATAGCTCATAAATATCCCAACCATCAAGTATTCTCATCCCGGAGAACTCACACACAAACATACCACATAGTTGTTCGCTCATTAACTACCCTATCTCCCCAACAGATAGAACCAAGCCCCTGCACAGGCTCCCTCCCACAATATACACCGGAGAGCACTTACAGCCTCTCTTTCTCATAACCTCTCAGTCTCTCCCCCATTTCTGTTTTTGTCCTCCTTACCATCTTTAAACATGCGGACCCCTGAGCGGTTTTTCCCCTGCTTTGAATCAGCTAGGGACATTAGCATGGTTGCAGGGAGCAAGGTGATGAAAGGTCTGTCCAGGGACCAGGAAGAACGGCCCACGTCAATTTGCAGGAAAGCACAGCCACAGTTACCTGGGGACAAATGGTTGAGAGAAGGATAAGGTGATGGGGTGACAGGGGCTCTTCCCCTGACTGCAGACAAGGGAGTCAGGTGGGAAGAGGATGCTCTTCCATTCTAGAGCTAGTTGAAAGCCCAGAAAGGTCAAGCAACATATGGAATCCCCCAATGAGCCAATCACTGAAGTGGGATGAGACCTCAGCCTGCTCAACGACAGTGTGAAGGTTCGCTGTGTTCCTCCCAGCCAGAAACCTTCCCCTGACTAAAGAGACTTGCTAGTTCCCTGTCTTCTGGCTCTGTGAGGCAGTGCTAAACTCTGTCTTTCTTAAATCCTTGCTAGGGAGCCTGACATCTCTCTGTCCTGAAAGAGCTGAGACCAGTGGTTTTTGCCAGCTCTCTATTCCAGAGAATTCTTAGGCCAACCTTCTCAACACATAAATTCCTATGGTGCCTTCCTGGATAGGCCTGCACAGTTCATCCCCCAACATCCTCTTGACACTGATGATTAGAGGTATATACAGATTCTATTTGTTGACATTTATAATTATGTTAATGTCCTAAGGCTTCACCCAGACTACTCAGATCAAAGCAGAGCAGGTATGTTGCATAATTCAAGGAGTGCCATTCACATTGTACTCTATGTGAATGGAACCCTTAGAGTTTGCCAACACCACAGACCTGCCCCAAAGGCAAGCGCCCCATCTCCCCTGCACACCAGGTAGGGTTTATTCCATGAAGGCTGCTCAGCCAGACTGAATTGAGACATTTTCGTGGAGCAAGTGGAGGGGAATGTTCCTCCTGTGTTCTACCGCAGTGGTTACCGGGCCCCAGAGAACTCACTCACCCACATCGATGTAGCCAATGGGCACTGCCCTCTCCAGCTGGAGTTCCACTTTCAGTTGCCCACTCTTGTCCTGGGGGCAGCTGAGCCAAGGTCCCCTCTGACTGTCTGGGTTCAGCAAGTTCTCCACAGGATACTTGGGATCCTAAGTCAGAGAGATGAGGAGAAAATCAGGAACCTCACTGAGCCCAAGAGAAAAAAGGCTGCCCAGGAATGAGGGATCCCTACACTCCCAAACCTTCCCAGGCATCCTAATACGATGGAAAAGGCACTAGACAGGAGTCCACAGGAATACAGCTATCACCTGCCAAGGGATTTATAGATGCCATTTACCTCTCCTTCATTTACCAGACCACCTCATTTAATCCTCATAACAACTTTAGGTGGTTACTATTATCGCTTCTTGGGTAACAGACCAATAAACCGAAGCTTAGGTTCAGAAACTTGCACAAGGACAAATAACCAACCAAAGTCAGAACTCCCAGGTTCTGAAGCCAGAGCTCTCAACCACACTATACCATTTCTTTTCATTCATAAGGTGCTTTCACAGACATTTATTTATCCTCAAAGTAACTCTATGAGATAAGAAAGGCAAAGATTTTTATTCTAAGTTTACAACTGATGGTTAGAAATAAAGTGATTTGTTCAAAGGCAACAATAGTGATAGTGAGAGAGAAATTCTCAGTTCTAACCCAAAGTCAGATACATTTTGGCGGAACGGCCTTGAGCAACCTTCTTTCTCTCTATGGATCTAAATTTCTCCAGCCATAAGTAAAGGAGGGGAGATTAGACGTGTGGTTTTCAATCTTGTTTTTTGTTTTAGCAATAAAACCCTGCCTTTTAACTGAAATCTTACACTAAAGCGTATGTATTTTTTCAACAAATAAAAGTAGAGCTCTGGGGGCCGGCCTCGTGGCTTAGCGGTTAAGTGCTCGCGCTCTGCTGCTGGTGGCCCAGGTTCGGATCCCGGGTGCGCACCGACGCACCGCTTGTCCCGCCATGCTGAGGCGGCGTCCCACATACAGCAACTAGAAGGATGTGCAACTATGAC